TAAAACGATTGATTCAGCCGTCTAGGAGGAGTTTGCGTATTACGAAATGCATAAGAGTCGACGTATAAGAGCTTCGCTCGCTCCGCTCAATAAACACAATTTCGATAGATCAGCAGCCTGATCATTTTCAAATTACTCTTCGTATAAATTTATACGATATAATTAAATAAATTACGTTATACGTTATACATTTGAAAAATCCAATATTAAGCGTATTCATAAGAATAACGTTTTGCAAAGTATTATCTGTAGTGGATTCACTAACGATCTCAAATACACGCATGATATGATGTCATTGTGTATCACCGCTATTTTGCTGCTTGGTTCAAATAATCCTCAAACGAATCAATAATATTATTTCAACCTATGATGTAGGTACGATATGTGATCGTAGGATACGATAGACTGCACATTGTGTAACAGGTTTAGTCGAGCAGGATCCATTTACACATTATAAAATAATCCATAACAATTTGACTGCTCTATTGCAGTTGTTTCGCCACGAAAACGTTAAAATCTAAGGCATCTGTTTGCTTCATTTAGTTAGTTTATCCAAGTTAGAGGTTGACGACTGATACGTTCAATCATTGAAAACCCAAGGACAAACCCCCAGACAAAAACACTCCACATATTTCGTTTCTATAAACCATTAACAAATTTTGCTTTCAGCCGCAGCTCCATATTTCAAATGTATTTTTTGAACATTCAAACGTGCCAACAACAATGGACAGCTAATTACTATTGAAGGGCACTAAAAATCACTTAAATATGGCAGTTTTAAAATGAGCCTTAATTAACTTTTCTACGACCCTTAGCAACACATATACTGAACAAAAGCTGTAGATATGAACCATCCATTTGGGACACGGTGTATCCAAGTCCCATAGGTTTTAATTTTTTATTAATATCCAGCAAACACTTAAAACGACCAAATAAACATGCAATTAAATTTCCGAATTTATAATGTGCAATGTGTTTCGCGGACTATGAGTTACTACAACACAGTGTATTAGTAACAGGGTGTTAGAAATAAGCCTTGTAATAATAAGGCGTATTCACGGCATTTCTGTATTAGGAAGCTCATTCAGAGTTTACCAACCGAGCGAGACTGAGAATTTGATGAGCCAGGTGTACAGTCTGTTCAAAAACTAAGAGTGTCCGGGTTCGTCGTTTGCGCGCAGCGTTAAACTGGGACACATTAAATGTGTCCAGTTTCGTCGTGTCGTGAAGCGCCACCCCTGGACAACTTAAAAACTTGTCCAGGTTCGTCGTTTGCGTGCAACGTTAAACTTGGACACATTTGAATGTGTCCAGTTTCGTCATGTCGTGAAGCGCCACCCCTGGACAAATTAAAAACGTGTCCAGGTTCGTCGTTTGCGTGCAACGTTAAACTTGGACACATTTGAATGTGTCCAGTTTCGTCGTGTCGTGAAACGCCACCCCTGGACAACTTAAAAATGTGTCCAGGTTCGTCGTTTGCGTGCAACGTTAAGCTTGGACACATTTGAATGTGTCCAGTTTCGTAGTGTCGTGAAGCGCCACCCCTGGACAACTTAAAAACGGGTCCAGGTTCGTCGTTTGCGTGCAACGTTAAACTTGGACACATTTGAATGTGTCCAGTTTCGTCGTGTCGTGAAACGCCACCCCTGGACAACTTAAAAATGTGTCCAGGTTCGTCGTTGTCTGCTTTTATCGTTGTCTGATGTAGACGGTGTCTGCTTTTAACGTAGTCCACGTTTAACGTTGTCCAACTTCGACATCGTCCTGACATGTACCTGTAGGCCCTTGGACTTTACTCACGACCGGTACAATTAAGGAATGTCCCTGATGCAATATTGAGCTTAAGCTATTACTTAAGCTAAACATCTAGCTTAAGCGGCGTTGGGGAAAGTGGCCCTGACACACACTCAAAACAAACCTAAATGTTTCTCCCGTGTGTTCCTGGTTGTTGAAACCTGTCACAAATAAAGATGTCCTAAAGGCAGTAGAGCATCTCAGTAACTCGAGTAGTAATGATTATTATAACATGTCAAATAATTTTTTAAAGCAAATAATTCCAAGTATTGTTACTCCTTTTGTAGTTTGCATCAATAGTATTTTACTAGATGGTCACTTTCCAGATGAACTTAAAATTTCTAGGGTTTGTCCTGTTTATAAGAAGGGGCCTAAAGATAAGCCAGAAAGCTATCGTCCTGTGTCTCTTGTGCCTGTGCTGTCAAAAATTATAGAAATAATAGTTTACAATCAGGTCATCTTGTTTTTAGAGGAAAATGAAATGTTGTACAGTTCTCAGTTTGGCTTTAGAAGGGGCAGGGCTACCCAGGATGCCATGGACGATCTCATTTCCCAAATCTTGCAGGCTTTTGAGGCGAGGTCCTATGCTCAAGTTACCTTCTGTGACTTGAGTAAAGCCTTCGATTGTGTTGATCACTCAGACCTTCTTTCAAAATTGCACTTCTATGGCATCCAGGGTGTTTGCCTTGCAACTTTTCGAATCTTATCTAAAGGATAGGAGACAAGTTGTGTATATTGATGGTGTTCAGTCTCAAGAGGTTTATTTGAAATATGGTGTTCCCCAAGGATCAGTTTTGGGCCCTCTGTTATTTTTAATTAGTATTAATGATTTAGGTACTGGAACGTTTGGGGTGCAATGACTAGAAATAAAAACACCATTTGGGGAATTAAATAAAATCCGGCCGACTACATGTTTACGGTTTGTTGGAATCTTGAGGACTGGTCAGCAAGGAAACTTTTGGAACGGCGGTTAAACGTGGAGGGAATAGTGGCGTGATGGGTTGTAGCCAATCCGGGAGCTTTATTGAAATCATACGATATGACGTCACAGTCGCCTGATCGCAGTCAGGACACAAATGCAAAACATATTGCCAACTCTTTATAAAACAAATCTAAATATCGTGAAAATGGCAACATTATGGTACATTATTAATGTATACACTACATTTCCTCCCCTTTAAGTTTAAAATATTTTTTTCTTAAAATACGCAATTTTATCAACACATCAAACCAATTAAATAATCATTAAGTAGCCTAAAACAAAAACACTTTTATAAAACAATATTGTATGACTCAATCAAATAATACAACACAATAAACATTAAAACAAAACAACCTTGATAAAATTGGAAACAAAACACAGAAATAAATATTTACAAATTCAACCTTTCAGGAGGTTTTATTTCTCTGGCAGATCGCCTCAATGGCGATGCTTGTTTTGGTTGATCAGCTGATCGTACAGGCAGGCCCGTTTTTGACCATGTCAGCGCCCTAGGCACAACTAATAGTAGCGCCCCTTTGCAATATATAACAGGGTGACCACCAACCGGGAAATCCGGAAACTAAGCGTGAATTTTTTTGACCAGGAATTATGTGTTAATTTTCTATTTCTACCTGGAATTGTCAATTTACAACAGTGACGTTTCCGTGACCACGGGAGACGGGAGACGATAATATGTCTCCACAAGGCCTCGAGGGATGATCAGAACTTTGCCGCGATCGCATGAGATGATAATAATATCTAAACGACCGCGGGATATGATCATGATTTTACCGCGATCGCGCAATACGATAATGAGATCCACAGAGCCGTGTAGGATAATCAGAATATTGCCGCGATCGCATGATACGATGATAATGTCTAAACGACAATGGGATATGATCATGATTTTACCGCGATCGCGCGGAACACAGTCAGAAATTTGCCACGATCGCGGAAGACGATAATGATATCCACATAACTGCGGGATATTATTAACATTTTGCCGTAATCGCGGGAGACAATTACGATGTCTTCACGACAGCGGGAGACGATTACGATGTCTTCACGACCGCAGGAGACGATTACGATGTCTTCACGATCGCGCGGAGACGATTACGATGTCTTCACGATCGCGGCAGACGATTACGATGTCTTCACGACCGAGAGAGACGATTATATGATGTCTTCACGACAGCGGGGGACGATTGAGATGTCTACAGGATCACGGGAGTTACAATAATGATGTCTACTCGACACGGCTGCGAGGGATGATCAGAATTTTACCGCAATCGCGTAAGACGATGATAATGTCCACTCAACCACGGGAAAGATCAGAAATTTGCCTCATTCGTGAAAGACGATGACTATCTCCAAACAACCGCGGGAGATGATTACCATTTGCCGCAATGGCGGGAGAGGATGACAATGCCTCACGACCACGGGAGGCGATGATGTCTTCACGGCTGTGAGGGATTATCAGAATTTTATCGTGATCACGCAAGAAGATGATAATGTCCACACGACCCCGGGAAAATATTACAATTTTGCCTCATTCGCGGTAGACGGTGATAATCTCATCACGACCGCGGGATGTGTTCATATATTGCCGCGATCAAGGAAGACGATAATTATGTCCACACATCCGCTGGAAATAGTCAGAACTTTGACGCGATCGCGGGAGACGGACGATGATGACGTATATACAACCGCGGTAAATAATTAACATCTTGCCGCGATTGTGGGAGACTGAGGTGTCTTCACGGCCGCAAGGGATTTACCGCGATCGCATGCAAAAACGACCACAATTTTTTTTTTTTCCAATTTTTTGGCGCCCCCCAAAAATGCCAATTGCTTCGCGCCCTAGGCACGTGCCTACCTTGCCTATTCGGTAAATCGGCCCTGCGTACAGGTGATGTAAAGGTCACGTCCGGTGGAGTAAGCGATGAGCGCGTACTACTACGTTTACTACGTCCTGGAGTACGAGGTGTACTCGGCATTTCCGGTCTCATGGGTGAAGCCCGACCAGCTGACTGAGCATTGTTACCAACATCCTGGTCAAACATATGTTCAGCTGGAGGCAACACTACCTCTCTAGTAATATCATTCTGTTGATCATTCAAATTTACCTTAGTGTTTAACCCGACCAGCTGGTCAATATGGCGTTTCCATACAATACCTGAGTCTAATTTTACTAAATAAGATACAGGACTTAACACTTTAATCACTACACCTTGTGTCCATTTATTTCTTCCCCTGTAATCACGAACTAAAACAGGCTGTCCTAATGACAGTTCCCTAGTTTGACTGCCCCCTTTGTTTACAATTTGTTTGTTTTGGTTTGACAAAACCGTTTTACTAACAGAAGGACGTATCAAATCTAAAGTAGTTCGCAATACTCTACCGAACATTAGTTTGGCTGGTGTTTCATTGGTTGTATTATGTACTGCATTTCGATATGCCAACAAAAATCTACTTAAAGCTAAGTCTGGATTTTGATTTGAAAACAAAGCCCCTCTTATTCTTTTCTTTACTGTTTTTACAGCATTTTCCGCCTGGCCATTACTAGCGGGAAAATAAGGTGGTGTAAGCGTATGCCTAACCCCATTAGCTTTAAGAAACTTGCTAAATTCACAGGATGTAAAAGGAGGGCCATTGTCTGTGACACACTGTTCCGGAATTCCAAACCTTGCAAACATAGGTCTCAATTTATTTATGACTACTTTGGCAGATGTGGAACTGACCTCCTCTACTTCTATCCATTTACTATAAGCATCAACTACAACCATATACAACTTTGAATTAATAGGGCCTAAAAAATCTATGTGTAATCGTTGCCACGCTGACTTTGGGTATTCCCATACATGTAAATATGACCTTGACGGGCTTTGACGTTCCATGAGACATTGCGAGCAACTATTGGCAAGTTCTTCTATGTCTTTATCTATTGAAGGCCACCATAGATAAGAACGGGCTAGAGCCTTCATTTTGACTATCCCTAAATGTCCACAATGCAATTCTTGTAACAGTCCCCTTTTATACATTTTTGGAATGACAACCCGATAACCCCACATTAATATGCCATGCTCAATAGTTAGTTCGCTCCGCCTTATGAAATAAGGTCGTAATTCTTCATTTACCTCATTAGGCCAGCCGTACAAGACATAGCCAAATACCTTACTTAACTCGTGGTCTTTTTGTGTTTCCCTCTTAATATCAACAAAACTGATTGGAATATCTCCCTCCGCTAAAAATTGCAAATAGGTTCCTACATAAGGATTTTCCTCATACTGTTCGTTAACATGTTTGGCTTGCAAAGGTAAGCGAGATAAACAATCTGCAGAAGCATTTCCCTGAGAGGAAACATATTGTATGTCAAAATCATAGCTGGCTAAAAATAAAGCATACCTCTGTAATCTGCTAGCGGCAAAAGCCGGAAGTCCCTTTTTAGGGCCAAAAATTGACAACAATGGTTTGTGGTCTGTTACTAGTGTGAATTTTCTACCAAACAAATACTGATTAAATCTTTTAACCGCAAACACAATAGCTAAAGCTTCTTTGTCTATTACAGAGTAGTTTGATTCGGCTTTAGACAATGTCCTTGACGCAAAACAAATAGGTTTTTCAGATCCATCTGATTGCGTTTGACTTAACACACTTCCGACCCCGTAGGCAGAACTATCAGTAGCTAACCTCAAAGGTAAATTTGGGTCATAATGCGCCAAAATAGGAGCGGAAACTAATTTGCTCTTAATTAATTGAAACGCTTTGTCACATGATAAATTCCATTCAAATGGAGTGTCCTTTCTGAGTAAATGATACAGTGGGGATACAATGGTAGACATACTTGGCACAAATTTAGAATAATAATTAACTAAACCTAGAAAAGCTTTTAACTGAGTTACATTGGTAGGCACTGGGGCGTTTACAATAGCTTCAATTTTACTAGGAGATGTGCCTAGTCCTTGTTTACTTAAAATGTACCCTAAATACTCAACAGATTTACAGAAAAACTGACATTTATTTTGACTTACTGTTAAACCATGATTCTTTAAAGTTTCACACACTTGAATCAACCTCTCTAAATGCTGTTTGTCATCAGTTCCTGTTACCAAAATATCGTCTAGGAAGCAAACAACGCCGGGAATGTGAGCTAAAATGCGTTCCATTATACTCTGAAATATTCCCGGGGCGGATGCTACACCATATGGAACTCGGTTGTAAATATACAATCCTTTCGATGTACTTATTGTACAATACTTCTTTGATTCCTCGTCTAACTTTACCTGAGTGTAAGCCTGAGAAAGATCGATTTTTGAAAATGTCTCCCCTTTTTGTAAATTATTAAAAATGTCCTCAATCCTTGGAATTGGGTGGTGATTGACTACTAAATAGGGGTTGAGCGTTACTTTAAAATCGCCACATATTCTTATACTTCCGTCCTTTTTCAAAATAGGCACAATTGGAGTTCCCCATTCACTATTGCTAACTTGAGTTAAAATCCCATTATTTACTAATCGATCAATCTCAGACTCGACTTTACTTTTGATCGAAAATGGTATAGGTCTGGGTTTGAAAAACTTAGGAATTACATTTTCCTTCAACTCTAATCTAGCTGCATCTCCCTTGTAACAACCTAACACATCAGTAAATACCTCAGGAAATTTACTGTACAGTTTACTGACAATTACAGGTTTTTGATCTCGCTTTTCAACCGTGTTCAAACTATTTTCTTTAGGGATTCGGATCGATATTTCTAGTTCCCTAATCCAGTCTCTTCCCATTAGAGGATTAGCCCCTTTAGACACAACATACAAAGTTAACTTTTTATGCTCAGATTCATGCTGTACATTTACGTTAAGTTTTCCTACAGGTTTTATTGGCTGGTTTGTATAGGAGCTCAAAACCAAATTAGTGGGCATTAATTCGAGATCAGAGAAATTATCGTTATAACACTTTTCAGAAATTACTGACACGCATGCTCCACTGTCAACCTCAAATGGCAATACAGTATGTTCTACTTTAAGATTAACCGTGATAGGTTTTATTCTATCCCTCTCTTTAGTTTCCTCGTCATTTATGGAAAATAAGTTAGCTAAATCACTATAATCATCGTCATTCTCATTGACCCCTGTGTTCTCTACATAGTTTTGCTTATACTTATGAGACTTGTTACCAGAGGTAAACTTAGGTGTAAAGTTCTTTTGTCCATCTTTACGCTTATCATTAAATGCAAATTTAGATTGTGACTCACCATTGTTTTTCTTCATCAGACACGCACTTTCTAAATGGCCTTTCCTCTTACAAAAATGCTGCTTCGAAGCGACGTTATGGAGACGACTTCCTCCCCCCGTGTTGTGGTAGGTCAGGGCCGCGGTGTCTCTCGCTGCCAACTCCATCGACGTGGCTATTTGGACCGTCTTCTCGAAGGTGAGATCTTCTTCGCCCAGCAACCTCTTCTTGGTGGCGTCGTCCCTCAACCCACTTACGATCCTGTCCCGAAGATGATCCGGTAGTTTGTCCTTAAACTCACAGTTGACAGATAGTTTCTTCAGGTTGACGATGTAATCAGCGACTGATTCATGATCCAATTGTGTTCGTAGACTAAACTTGTACCTTTCGGCAATAAAAGATGGTTTTGGATGAAGATGTCCCTTAATGATCCGTACAATATCCTCGTAGCTCTTAGTAGCAGGTTTGTCTGGTGTACATAGATCTTTAAGCAGGTTATAAGTCTTCACTCCGACAACCGTCAAAAGCGTACTAACCTTTTTAGCGTCGGTAATATCGTTACATGTAACAAACAATTCAAAACGCTCGATATATGAGTCCCACGTTTCTTCCGAATTATCAAAAGGACCGATCGCACCGATGAACGACATCTTGAAATTTAATAAAGTTCCAAAGTTATCAATAAAGTTCTCATCAAGCGGCATTAATGTTTCACTCACACGCACTGTTCGAAGTTAACTTGACCGAATTCTTCTGTAAACACACGTACCTTCCTACGGTGCACTAGAAGTTCAATTGTCACTTTTAAAAACACACGTACCTTCCTACGGTGCACTTCGATTGTCACTTAAATCACTTAAAAACCTTTTACGCGTTGAGTCATTTTCGTACCTCGTCGCCACTGGAACGTTTGGGGTGCAATGACTAGAAATAAAAACACCATTTGGGGAATTAAATAAAATCCGGCCGACTACATGTTTACGGTTTGTTGGAATCTTGAGGACTGGTCAGCAAGGAAACTTTTGGAACGGCGGTTAAACGTGGAGGGAATAGTGGCGTGATGGGTTGTAGCCAATCCGGGAGCTTTATTGAAATCATACGATATGACGTCACAGTCGCCTGATCGCAGTCAGGACACAAATGCAAAACATATTGCCAACTCTTTATAAAACAAATCTAAATATCGTGAAAATGGCAACATTATGGTACATTATTAATGTATACACTACAGGTACCTCATAATGTGCAATGTAGAACCCTTCTTTTCTTTACGCTGATGACACGACATTTGTTAACTTCCAGTAACTTGCTGCATCTAAGTAATTTGGTAAATAACTCTATAGAAGAAGCTTCATCTTGGTTTAGAGCTAATGGCTATCTCTTAAATAAAAATAAAACTGAAAATATAGTATTCTCTTTGAGGCCTTATGACCATGAATCTTTAGCTATAGAAACAGCTGTCAGTACCAAGTTTTTAGGTGTATGTGTTGACCAACAGCTTACTTGGAATACTCATATTAATTGTGTTACTACTAGACTTTCTAGAGTTGTTTTCTTGTTGGGGCGTTTGAAATACTGTGTGTAACTCCAGAATATATCCGGATGGCTTATTTTGCTTTTTTTTTCAATCAATAATTAAAACTGCTTGCTTGTCTGGGGCAATTGTTCAAGAATTGAAGAAGTGTTAATATTACAAAAAAAGCTGTTAGAATTATTGATGGTTCAGCTGATCTTGAACATTGTAGGCCTATTTTTATTAAATTAAAGATTTTTACTGTTATTAACCTTTATATTTTAGAACTTGTTATTTATTCTTTAAAAAACTACCAGTCATGGTCCTGAATGAAGATGTATCCCTACAATACTCGTGGTAGACATCAAATAAGTTACCAGCACCTCCGTTTGAGCAAATCTTTAAAAAGCCATGTTGTTATCGTGTAAGAAAGCTTATAATAAGGTAATAAGGTATTAATGTAAATAAGTATCCACAAGTCCTACAAGTCCTACAAGTCTTTTAAAGTCGGTCTGTATCCCGTGGATGCTGAGAAAGTGTTGGTTAGTGAGTTTTGGTCGGCAGGTACTCTCATATCTAACTATGTTCAACGCAAAAGGAGGACTTATATTGACTCAGGGTCTGTAAATGAGACTAGCAATTCTTTAAACGAAGAGCGCCCCAGTCTCCCTGCCACAACCTAGGTAATGAGCATGACCTAGGCCTAGAACTCAATATCACATCGAACATTAATAAAGACTTTTCTACAAATAGGCTTGTGCTAACATTCCTGTTTCTAAATATTCAAGGTTATGGTGATAAACAAACTTTGCTAGAATATATGTCACTGCAACATAACTATGATTTTATATGTCTCTCTGAACATTGGATATTTAAAATAAATGTAGACTTCTGCACCCTTAAGGGCTACAATCTAGTCAGTAAATTTGCCCGTGATAGCTCTAGCAGAGGTGGAACTCTAATTTTTTCCAAAAGTGAACTTCAGTGCTGTGAAATTAACCTTTCAGACTTTTGCATTGAAAAGTCTATTGAAGCGTGTGCTGTAGTTATAAGTAAGCACAAGCTTATTCTTATCTCTATATACCGCACACCAGATAGCAGTGTATGGCTATTTCTTGAAAACCTGGAAAAAATCCTCCACCTTATCTCAAAATGGCCCAATTACAAAATTATAATTGGTGGTGATGTTAATGCCCAGTTCGACGTTACCAAGCCAAGTACTCCGGTCACCAGACTCCTGAACCTATTAAGACAACACAACCGTATCACCACAACGACCAACCAACAAGATAACGCCTGCCTTGACAACGTGTTCACAAACTGTGGCAGCGACAACCTCTCCACCTCTGTTGTTCCTTGTCACTTTTCGGACCATGATGGACTCGCTCTGTTTGCTATTGTATGTAAAAACCTTGAGCCTGTAAATACAGAAGTGAATACCTTTATAAGGCCTTTCTCTGAACACAATCTCACACTTTTCAAGTCAAAAATGCAAAACACTGATTGGACAAAGGAATTGACTACCCTTGGAACACTACAACCAGGTAACATTTTCAAAACTTTTTTGACACTTTTATGCATGAGTTTGCTTTGTGTTTTCCACTGATTAGATCTAAGCCTCAGAATAACAAGAACACGCTTAAACATAGTTGGTTTGATGATAATTTATTCAGGCTCAAGGAACAACTTCATCTTAAATACCTTAACCTTAAGCCTAGTAATAATTGTCCAACCCTTAAGTTGGAATATCAAAATTCTAAGAAGTTCTATAGAAAAGCAATCAATGATGCCAAGCTAAAACACAATGCCAAGGTAATAGAGAACTCGCAAAACAAATGCAAAACTGCTTGGAAAATTGTAAAAGAGAACTCTGGTGGTAGTACAAAAAAAGTTGTCATTCCCTTGCATCCCAATGATCTCAATAAAGGTTTTATTGACTCTGTAATTAGTATAAGATCTGAGATAAGTAGTGTAAATACTTCTTTTGATGTTTTTCTAAAGAATGTTCCTCAAACAAATGCATCTTTCAGGTTTGGTTATGTAACTTGTGATGAAGTCCTATCGGTAATTAGGAAAATGAAAAACTCAAAAACAAAAGATATTTATGACATTTCTAACTGGTTCATCAAAGAGACCTCCTCCTGTGTTGTTTTCCCTCTCACAGTATGCATAAATGCCTGTCTTCAGGAAGGACATTTTCCTGAATTTTTAAAATTGTCAAAGATTTGTCCGATTTTCAAAAAGGGGGATAAAGCTAGTCCTCAGAGCTATCGGCCTATCAGTCTGGTACCGACTTTGGCTAAGGTAGTCGAACATGTGATTTATAACCAGGTGAGAAATTTTTTTGAGTATCATGCTCTGTTCAACGAACAACAATTTGGTTTCAGGGCTGGACGCTCTACTACGGGGGCCATCGATGCCATGGTCCGCACAGTCTTCAATTGTTTTGAAAGTCGAGAGGCTGCTTGTGCCACTTTTATTGACCTAAGCAAGTCCTTTGATTGTGTTGACCATGTCATCCTCCTCCAAAAGCTGGAGTATTATGGTATCCGTGGTGCGAGCCTCAGCCTATTCAGGACATACCTTGCTGATCGTAGACAGGCAGTTTGCATAGGCAATACCTGGTCCTCTGTCCTATCCACTAACTGTGGAGTACCTCAGGGCTCAGTATTGGGTCCTCTCCTGTTCCTCATTGCCATCAATGACCTGCCCTTCAGCCTCAACTGTGATGCATATTTGTATGCAGACGATACCACCATTCTAAGTAAGGGTGCAGATGTAACGCAGCTTGTAGCTGCAGTGGAAATTAGCCTAAGTTTGACCTCTGAATGGTTTGCAGCAAATAAATTCCTTGTCAACGAGGACAAAACACAGTCTATGCTATTTAGCTTGCGGTCTACGCCTCTAATGGAGGAAACTATCAAAAACAATTCAAATGTTAAGATTCTTGGAGTAATTGTTGATCCCCAACTAACTTGGAACTCCCAGGTACAACATATATGCACAAGACTAAGTAGGCTTACTTTTTTATTTAGAAAATTAAGGAACCTTCTGCCTCTAAATCATCTCAAAAATGTTTACTTTGCACTTGTCCAGTCAATTCTAAGCTACGGGATAATCCTTTGGGGAAATAGTTACCACATCAATGATGTTCTTGTTGCTCAAAAAGAGATTATTAGAACTATATTTAACAAAGATCGAAATGAACATTGTAAACCATTATTTATTAACTTTAATGCTTTGACTGTGATAAACCTTTATATTTATAATGTATTGTTATCTAGTTTTAAGTTGCATGAAACCTTTGCTCTAAGGGGTGATTTTCATTGCTTTGACACTAGGAAAAGAGAAAACCTTGACATTCCTTTTACAAGACTGGAAAAGATTAAAAGAAGCCATATTATTATGGGTAGAAAGTTGTGGAACAAACTATCGCCAAGAATAATTCAACTCCCTTACAATAGTTTTAAGAATGCAATTTATGAATGGCTTGTCAGAAACCCCCTGTATAAGATTGATGAGTTTTTTTGCTTTACAACCAATGACATAACCACATATGATTATTTAATACCAGCCTTGCATGTATTTTCAGCCTGTCTATGCTTATCTACTTTTGTACGATTATTTATTTGCATGATGTGTAATAATTCTTAATTATCTATATAATTAATACGCTACATGAAACTTTGTCGGTTGAACTCCTCCGCCATTTCTTAACCGATTTTATCCATTGACGTCTCATTGGAAAGAGCGTGTCGCGTAGATTTGCAAACTGACCTTACATTTTTGATAAAGTCCCTTGGGCTCTGCCCCAGTGGCTGTTAAAGTTCCCATGTTATCCTTATGAAGAACATGATTGTTTACATTTTGATCCTTATCCAAAGTGGCCTTCCAGCTGTATGTTATAATTGCTGTTATTTTCAAAGTCTTTTTAACTCATCGGAAATTATGATGACTTTTATTTGTTTTTAAATAACTTCTTTACTTCTTTGCAATTGCTCGATTTCGAGCAACGTGTTTACTAGTTACTATTAGTTGCCTGAACTTGACTTGTGCCTCTACCAGCATGTATTTATATAATTTGACTGTGTCTGATGCATTTATACAGGGTGATTGATAAGTGTGCCAGCCGTTTTATTCGAAAACCATAAGAGATATCAAAAAAAGTTAAATGGTAAGTGCTTTGGATTTTTTATTTTAAAAATTGTGGTCAAGTCGAAAAAAATTTCTTAGTCGCCGTTTTTCCAATATGGCCGCCAACTTTGATTTTTCTTATGGAACACCCTGTATTTCATTATGTATTCCGGTAGAAAATGTAATTTTAAGACGATTTTATTCTTGTGATTTTTTTCATAAACCTAACCGTTTCAAAGATAATAATAGTTAAATTTGTGAAATTTTGAATAGTTTTTGAATAAAACAGCTGGCATGCTTGCTTAGGCCTGGGGGTGTGAAAGCCAAAGGACTCAGTTCATATTCAGGCTTCAAAAAAGGCTCTCCGAACTGTTTTTTCCCTTTACCGTCGTCAATCCTGCAGAGATGTCTTCAGATCACATAATGTTCTAACTTTCCCTTCCATTTACATTTTAGAAACATTATCATTTATCAAGAAAAACCAATCATCATATAGCTCTCCAAGTATCCATAGTTATCGTCTCCGCAACAATTTCAATCTTTCAGTACCACGACACTCAACCACTTTCTTTCAGAAAAATTTCCACTTCAATGCAGTAAAACTTTTTAATGACCTCCCTCTCCCTTTGAAACCCGAACAGGACATCGGAAAATTCAGGAAATTAGTTAAGTCCATGTTGATAAATAAGGTCTGCTACAGCGTCCGGGAATTTCCTGGTAGTCTTTAACCTTATTAAACATAAAAGAAAACAATTTGTATATAATGTATTTAGTAGTTAATTAATTTCATAAAAATGTAATCTCTTGACTTGGCCAATGCAATGTATTGTTAATCTGGTTGAATAAAGGACTTTGGACTTTGACTTTGACTTTATCGAAACTCTTTCTTATGCCTAATTTTTAAAACTTTAAACATTATTATCTTTGAAACGGTTAGGTTTATGAAAAAAATCCAAAAAATAAAATCGTCTTAAAATTACATTTTCTACCGGAATACATCATAAAATACAGGGTGTTCTGTAAGAAAAATCAAAGTTGGCGGCCATATTGGAAAAATGGCGGCTAAAATAATTTTTTTGACTTGACTAAAATTTTTAAAATAAAAAATCCAAGGCACTTACCATTTAACTTTTTTTGATATCTCTTATAGTTTTAGAATAAAACGGCTGGCACACTTATATCAATCACCCTGTATAATGTCTATAGACGAATAAATATCATTTCATTTCATTTCATTTCACAAAAAATATTTTAAAAAAAATTCAGTGACTGGCTCTTAAGAAATCCTTTTTACAGTATTGAAAAGTTCCTAGAACAGCCTGTGATAAGTCTGTAACTTTGTATCCAAATCTGTTAATTATTTCTATAGTCTATTTTTGTTTTCTTCAACTTTGTTAATTGTTCATTTGTTAAATTGTTTATAGTCTATTGTGATTGTTAACCCTGTAGTTAAAAGGAATTTGTACAACATAGACTCATACCCAAGTTACCTCTGATTATTAGACAATGAACATTGAAATTTTATGTTCTGCTCCACTGACAATGTCAATGCATGTAAATGTCCATGATAATAAATGATTTGATTTGATTTGTTCGGTTTTTCATTCCGCGGTCCTATCCTCTTTCGGATTAGTAAAGTCTGCTTGAGAGACCCCAAGCAGTGAAGACACTCAACCCTGACCTTCCTCAAAATCCCATCTTACCAGTAGAAATATCCCCATATTTTTGAAAAACAAATTACAAAATAATAATAACCATGTGTGAATGGTAGCTATTCTAACAAAATTATTGACATTTAACCATGTCAAACTGTTTCAGATGTGCATGGTCTTGAATTTTTTCTTGCACATGTTTGGTTTTTATCGATTTTGCTTGGTTCGATTTTTAACTCTTAAAATATTTATTTTATTTTATGGTTGTACATTATGCTTGTACACTGACATAGCCTGTAACAAATTGTTGTTTGGCCGAATAAAATCATTGTATCATTGATGACAATACTAACTCGAAGGAAGCAACCACATGTTTAAAATATTGAACTATGCGGCTGCATGGTTTTAACCGTTCAAAGCCAGCCACTTTTGGAAAAATAGAAAAAAAAAACAAAAAACTTATCCGTCATCCGTCTGTCTACTATTGCTTTGCTCATGGCTTTGGCTTTGCTGCTTTGCTCTATTGATTCAGTCAGTCAGTAACTTAGTTTTGTTTTTTGTTTTAGTTTATCAGTTATCTATCAGTATTCACTCAGTCTTAGGCCTCCTAGGTTAGGTTAATACTAACCACCAGTATTAGGCCTAACACCAAATACCAAATACCATATCTTTGACTTTTGGTATTTGGTTATGTTTCAATTCAAGTGAACGAAGCCTAATTTCAATTAATTTGAAGCAAGATTTTTCTTATTAGCAATAGGCCTAGCTCTGATTTATACAATTAATTTTTAATTAAACTTGAGATACGAAAAATGGTGTCTTTAGATCAGCCAGATTATGTTTTATATGCTTGTACATGTGGCTGTTTAAAACCTATGACAAAGATGTATTTTTGTAGACATTGTTTAAAGGTTCGTTGTGGATATTGTGTTAGTCACGAGGCAAGTATTTCCCCCTGTAAGTTTAATTGTAGCAAAACTAGCTTAGCCTAAGTCTAACGGGTCAGTCCAGGCCAAATCATCCAGGGGGGTACACCCCACCACCTCAGATTTACATGAAAATTGTTTTACAGCATCTATGGACAAATATAACAACCCATTATTTTTTATTTTTGTAAAATTCACTTTAGTTTTTTTTTATAATTTTTTTTTAAATACGTTTTTTTAACCGATTTATTAGAATTGGGGTCGGGGGAAAAGAACACTTTTTAGTTTAAGTCCGACTGTGAGACTATTATTAATATAAATACTTGAAACTTGGCACTCTTACAACTAATTACACCCTGATTCCAAAAATATGGTCCAAAATAGTTAAATCTTCCAATTTATTTTGGTTAGGCAACTTCAAAGTTGAAATTTCGGAAATATTTTTCTCGCTGTCGCCATTTCCGTAAATCCTCATAAATTTTTTCTGACAGGTCCTACAAATTTGAACAAGGTGTCATTTTAAAGCTAAGAAAAAGTGCTTTAAGAATATGTAATAAAATTCATGGGTAGGCTATTTTGTGTTACATTATCACAGTTCAAAAATATAAAAAGTTAATAACGGAAATAGTCATTAAAATTTTGACGAAAGCATTTGTTTACCTACTTAGTGTTAATATTATATAGGCTAATGCTCTAAATAAGAAAAAAGCTCATCTCCATCATCATATTGTAAAGGAATCTAAACAAGTTTAAATTAAGTACGAGGTAAGTATAAGCAAGCATTAGTTTCATGAAGTACTAGCAGAGCACCCGTCCTTCGTACGGGATTGGCATATAAGTATAAAATGCTTAGTGCAGTGATACTCAATAATCATTGCGTTTGCAATGGGGTAGGACACAGTTTGATAAAATTTGGGTATTTATTCCGTACAGGTGCCTCCAAACGAATTTTTAATTTTGATATCTTACTTTATAGTTTTTTACCTCCTGAATCCAAATATACCATTAATTTTCACCGCTGATGAATATTTCTCAAGATATCGCCGTAAAAACATACCTAACATTACAATAAACAAGATAGGATGGATGACATTTACAAGTGGAATGAACTGTAGTATTAAGTGTTTTGAAGTTAGGTTAGATTAGGAAGGTAAAGTTTAGGTTATAATGTATCAAGTTGTTAGTTTATGTCGCCTGCAGACTGTTTTTGTAAAATTAAAATCCTGAGAAAAACACTTCAAATTACTATTTCAAAAATGCTTGCATTTTTGAAATACAGAATAGCACTTAGCTAGCACTACGCAACACGTTAACCTACAGTTCATTCCACTTGTAAATGTCATCCATCCTACCTTGTTTATTGCAATTTTAAGTATGTTTTTACGGCGATATCTTGAGAAATATTCATCAGCGGTGAAAATTAATGGTATATTTGGATTCAGGAGGTAAAAAACTATAAAGTAAGATATCAAAATTAAAAATTCGTTTGGAGGCACCTGTACGGAATAATTACCAAAATTTGGTTCATACATTTATGGTATGATATAGGCCTAGTATAACATATCTACCATTGCCATAATGTTCTACCACTGCAACTAAACAATAGAACAAAATAAATTATCAAACGTTCGCACATATCACAAATTATGCATTAAATTAAAAACTCAAACCTAACTGTAAACAATCCTACTTTGACAGTTCTCATTGCGTATCACAGCTTTTTGTTGCTGCTTGGTTCAAACTAGATAAGTTTAACCTGTTGCTTGAAATCGAGCAAAACTGCAACTTGTAATAAAGAAAAATAAACAACTCAAAAATAGGCATAAACAACAACAGAGAACATAGGTACCTCAATCAAAGAGTAATTCTGAAGTAGGTATATGACTTATAGAAATACAAAAAATATTATGCTGTAACAAATTATAAAACTAACCTACAATATTTAAATATAGATCCGCTCTCATACTGCTTTGGTCATCTCTTATGTATTGTAGGTGGGTCCCCACTATGAGAACGTAGATGTCAACCACACACTGTAAAGTGAGCTTTCTCGACCTAATGTTGCAAGCCAAATCCCTCTCTTGACGCAAACCAGTACGACACGTAATATAGCACTGTTAAATTATTTCTACGATAGGTTCTGTTTTAGGCGTGTTTAAATTAGGGGCCCCAACCAAAGTCTCCGGTTGGGAATATTAGAGGGCAAGCAAGTGGATCTAACGACGTATCTAGAACGGATTCGCGTTTAACATTATTAGTTTTTGAAAAAAAAATAAACTAAGATTTATTTGGTCTAGTGGTCCTCTGTTTTCAGCTTTAAAAATAGCGGCGACATTTATACAGGTCGCATCATTGTAGCGAGGAAAGATAATTATTTTGTCTCTTATTATGTACATAAGAATCTCCCTTAACTCCTCGGAGCTCTCGTCCCTACACATTTCTGCCAGAGTTTTAGAAGAGTGGGCAAATGGGTTGGGAATGTGACCCTTCTTCCCACATATTTTTTAATTGAGAATCTTTCCTTTCAAGTGTCATGGATCTTGAAATTGTAGATCCCTTGTATGATCCTCTCATCTACATGAGCTTCAGAGCTGACCATGGCAAAGGCGGAAATGAATTGACGAATTTTACTCTCTAATAATTTATAGATCCAAGCCTCACAGCCCTGATTTCAGATTGGGAGTTTCCAATAAGTTCCTGAAAGTATGGTGAATTCCGCAGATGAGGTAAATGGTTCTCTCATTTATGGCAACAAAGAGTAACAATAGAACTGTATCGGCCAGACACTTTTTTTGCTTAAAATGTAAGCCACCACAATGTAAACATTTAACGTTCATTTGTCCAAGGTTAGATGTATCCCACACGATGGTTGCCACTCTGTAATCTTCAAATGATACATTTGGAGATTGATGCAAGCGGCCAAGTTCGCGTTTCCTCCAGCCACACAGTCTTTTCTGGTGGCAAATTATTTTAAATTTAGATAAATTACGAAAGTTAACAAAACAACAGAAAACACTACAACGGAATTGTTATACACATTGTAAATTACATGATATGGTGGTGTAACTGAACTGGAAATAATCACTTTCAAACATTCATTTCATCACACCAAACTGTAACTAAAACAACACGATAATTCAGTAGAATACGATGTAAGGTACATTCAACTATTTACAAACAATTTGTTGACAAGTCTTGCTACGAAACTTTTTATTTAAGAAACAGATTTAGTTAACAGATGTTTAGATAAAAATATAAAATTCCGACTTTGCTCTGGAATGAATAAGTCCTGCGATCTATGGTCAAACTTAAAAACTAAAAAGAATTAAATATTTATTCTTAAACACTTTGTATGAACCAGACTTAGTTAACAGATTGAAACAAAATATAAATTCCAGCTTTGCTCTGGAAGTTTTAAGTCCTGCAGTCTGTGGTTAACCTTAAAAACTATTTCAAACTACGTCCATATGTTATTTGTAAACAAAGGGAAATGAGTTTGATCAAATATGAACAGATGGTGCCGCCTTCCAAACTTTAGCCCTTAACTGTACTTAAGTGGTGCCCTTTCCAAATATTCTGAGACGTTTGCACATCTACGTGAAAATACCTTTAATTTGACACCTCAAAATAAAATCCATCAAGCCGTTATTGAGTTATGACTGTGAAAAGAAAACTGCTTGCGTATTAATATATAGATTAGCTCTGTTGTCATATCCAAAAACAAAATAATAATAGTGCTGCACCCTGTTGGGAAACCTTATAACTTTTTAATGCTATTGCATGTTATAGAACGAACTTGTAAAGTTGAAACAGCTGACTAAATTCTTTAATTCCCTTTAAATATGAATACTCATAAGGTTAACATGGGGAACTATAGAGCCACTGGGTCGGAGCCCGAAAATATTTTTGAGATAAGAATATGCTCAAATGTTAGGAATGTGAGCTATCATCATGCCAAATTTCAGCCCAATCCGTCCTGTAGTTTATGCGTGATTGAGCAACACACTCACAAACTTTCAGATTTATAATAAGATGGTACAAAATAGTAATAAACTTTAAATTCATTCACTTATAAATTTAATCAACTTGGAACAGGTTTTAACATAAAAATGTTAATTATGTACCAAAAAGCAATAATTATACAGGGTGGTAAAAAAGTCCCTGGACAGTTGAATATTTTAAAAAATAATGCAGATAGAGCTATAATACTTGGTACAAAGTTACAGGGCATAAAACTCTATTTTAACACATATTCAGTGATCCAATAACCCTTCAGGGGGACGGCCCACAAGGAGTCAGAAGAAAATCTTAAACGGAAGCATAGGTCAATATGCACATCAAATTAAAGGTCTTTTTTTGTAGAATACAATGCCGCAAACCGCACTTCAAAGGTTGATCCTGCGCAAAATGGCAGATGTTCAAAGATTTCTTGAATCCGCCATTTTGAATCTTTGAACGACTGCCATTTTTTACTCAGGCATTCTTTTGAGCTTGAATTTACGGCATCGTAATCTACTAGTGAAGACCTTTAATTTGACCTCTATCCACCTATGCTTACGTTAACAATTTTCTTCCGATTCTTAGGGCTGTGCCCCCGAGGAGTAAGCGTATAATAGCAATGTAAATTAAATGAATCTTTGAACAACTGTCATTTTGCGCAGGATCAACCTTTTGAAGTGCGGTTTGCGGCATTGTATTCTACAAAAAAAGACCTTTAATTTGATGTGCATATTGACCTATGCTTCCATTTAAGATTTTCTTCTGACTCCTTGTGGGCCGTCCCCCTGAAGGGTTATTGGATCACTGAATATGTGTTAAAATAGAGTTTTATGCCCTGTAACTTTGTACCAAGTATTATAGCTCTATCTGCATTATTTTTTAAAATATTCAACTGTCCAGGGACTTTTTTACCACCCTGTATATTACACATATGATTTAAAGGCGGAATGCAACTAAAAAACTAGAAAGCCAAGACACCTTAAGTGTAACTTAATTAGGTTGTGCTTTTTTGCTTACCTGTCTAATGGTCTT